TTTGATTCGTACTCATGGAGCTTTTTCTTGAAAAGGCTGGGCTGGTTCACGCTCTTGAGTTCATTGAAAAAGTGGAAGAGAGGGGCCGGCCTGTGGCACAGCAGGTTAAGCCGCCACCTACGATGCTGGCATCCCACATGAACTTGGTGGAGTCCCAGCTGCTCCACTTCCGACCCTACTCCCTGCCGATGGCCTGGGAAAGCAGTTCCCCAGGCCCTTGGGCCCCTGCACCCACGTGGGAGACCCAGAAGAAGCTCCTGGCTTTGGCCTGGCCTGCCCCTGGCCGCTGCACACATTTGGGGAGTGAGCCAGTGGAAGGAAGAGCTCTCTGTGACTCCCCCTCTCTCTGCAACTCTACTTCTCAGATAAATAAATTAAAAAAAAAAAAAGAGCCGTGCACGAGCGCCCTGCCCTCCCTCCCAGCACAGGGCTGGGCAGCCAGGCTCGTTCCAAGGGCTGTTCTGTGGTCCCACGGGTGGGAATCAGCACTCGCGGTGAGGAAGGAGAGCGGAGCAGGCTCTGCGCGGGCACGACACGAGGCGCAGCCCACGCACAGCTGAGAACCTGCACCTCGGAGTCTGCGAGGGGGTTCCCGGGGAATCTAACACAGCCCGGCTCCTGGCCTGCCCGCGGGAGCCGGCACTCCGGACACGCGGCTCGCGGCAGGGCGCCCCCAGCACGGCTGGGCAGAGTTAAGGCCGACACAGCTGTGCCGAGGTTGGGCTCAGCCGCAGCAGCCCCCAGCACCGAGTCGCCCAGGTGAGGCCGGGCCTGCTGAGGGCCACAGTGAGCAGCAGCCGTGACCGAGGGACACGCGTCCGTGGGCCGGCCCTGGACGCCAGCTTGTCTCTGCGAGGCAGGAAGGTGAGTGAAGCTGTTTCTTTAGTGGTCAACCTGCTGCCGTCACCTCCCAACGGCTGGTGACACAGCGGGACAGGCGCCGCGGAGGGCGGCACTGAGGCCGAGGGAGCCCCGCCCACCCGCCTGCGGCTCGTCAGTATGGTCTGTGTGGGCCCCACGGGGCTCACAGGAGCCCAGGGAACCGGCAGCACAGCGCAGGACCAGGCGGCAGGGCGGGCTCAGCACCAAGGCCAGAGCTGGCTACTGTAGACAGGGGGCCGGGAGCGAGGCCCTGGGCCGCCGGCACCTGTGCCCCGCCAGGGCCACCCTCACCTTCATGACGGGCTGGGCAAAGTAGCGGGCGCTCCAGTCACAGAACCCCGTCTGCATCGTGGCCGAGATGAAGCTCTTGTGTCCGGCAGCATCGTCCCCGTCATCCGTGGTCTTGGGCGTCGGGGAGGGGGTTGGGGAGAGAGACAACAGGAGCCACGTGAGTCCCCGCACTGCCTGGTGCTGCCGAGGGTTCACAGAGCTCCGTTCCGGGCAGAGTCGCGCTGTCAGCACAGTCGTTCCTGGCCCGTCACCGCCGGTCCTGCTGACCGAGGCTCGGCACCCACCCGCCCCCCAGGGCCGGAGGCGCGGCTCGGCTGCGGAGTGGTGTCGCACAGACAGGGCTGTGCAGGTCCCGAGTGTGGACAGACGCCAAGCCTCTGCTACCCGGCACGGAACAGGCCGTTCCTTTGGCAGCCCCACCGCCCCCGTGGCGAGCAGTGGCCCCGGAAGGAGAGCACAGCCAGCGCAGGTCCATGTCCGACCACGCACTGTCACGGTGGCCACCTCGCCCGGCAGGTTGGCTTTGGAGCAAGAACCACCAGCCGGCGTTCGGCAGGGCTGACGCGGCTGGAGCCCACTGTGGCCTTGGGCCCAGCCGTGGGCAATGCGGGCTCTGCCCTGCTCAGCACCCAGCCGGGAGGCCGACCTGCACTTGGAGCTCCGGGGGCTCCTGGCTCACTGTGTGGCTCTGGCAGTGAGGGACGGCCCAGAGCCGACTGGTTGTCATGGAAACCTGCGGCTCCCTCTCCCCAGTACTGCAAGGTGGCTGGTCGCTGCTTCCCGTCTCAAAGACTGGACCAGAGTGAGACACAGTCCCCCACCACTGGGATGCCACTGCCCTGGTGCCCTGCCCAGCTCGGGCCCTGGCACCTCCTGAACAGCCTTCTCCACACCTGGTTCGTGACAGAAGGCGGCAGAGCCAGGACAAGCCGGCAGAAAGAGCCAGGCCTTCTCACGGCACAGCCCGCACAACCCTGGCACAGGAAGGCACAGACACCCTCCTGAAACCCTGGGAACCACAGGCAGAGCAGTCGAGTACCTATGTGAAGACACCTGCTGGGAGGGGCCCTCTCAGGCAGAGCAGTCGAGTGCCTATGTGAAGACACCTGCTGGGAGGGGCCCTCTCAGGCAGAGCAGTCGAGTGCCTATGCGAAAGCACACACCTGCTTGGTGCAGGCTTGTGCTGCAGCTCCACACTGGGGAGCCAGGACGGTGCACACCGGCTCTGTGCTCTGGTTCTTCCAGAGTGCCAGGAACGAGAGGCAGCGGGGACGAGGCCCCTGCAATACCCAGCACAGGGCTGGGTGGCCAGGAGCGCCGCCAGGGCTCCAAGGGCAGCGCCGGCCGCAGTCTCACTCAGAGGCAAAGCCACCGCGTGCCCCTGAGGAGCCTCCACGCGCAGACCGCGAGACCGCGAGACCGCGAACGGCGTCTACCTGGTCTGGGCCCTTGTCGAACAGCTTCCGCGTCCGGGGAAACTGGTGCGAGTGGGGGGTGTACTGCGCCCCCACGGGGCCCGTGGCGCCCGGCCGGCCCGAGGGCAGGTCGCGGCTGACCGGCTGCTTGGCCACGTCGTTGGTCAGGCTGGAGCTGCTGGTGCTGGCTGTTGGCGGCGAGCCTCTGCCATTGGGAGGACAAACAGCGCTTGCTTTCTCTTGGAGAGCAGACGCCGAGCTGCACCCCTCCCCCGTGCTGCTGACGGACACAGGAGCCGGCTGCCCGGCTTCCATGCCGTAGCCGTCCACGCTGACCACTGGCCACGCGAGAGCCCTAAGAACCGACTCTCGCGGAGCGTGAGGGCCCAGCCGCCCAGGCCTGCACGGTGCAGGCTCCCCTGGGACCAAGGACGCGCGCACTGCTCCCGGGGCACACGCTAGGAGGAGTCGCCTGGTGGTGTCCCACTGGGAGAACCCACGGCCTCTCAGGGAACTCTGACCGGTGCCGGGCGTCCACCGAGCGCAGCCTGTGCCGGCACACAGTGCAGAGGCAGGGTCTTCCGTGTGGGGAAGGCGGCCAGGAGGGGGCGCTCAGAGACACGGGCTGCGTGCACGTGGGTACCCGTGGCAGGGAGAGCCACGGGGAGGGGCCCCCATGTGCTGGAGAGGAAGGGAAGACGAGAAAAAGTGGGAAGACAGGGAGGGCGCGAGCTAGGGACCGACGGGGGAGGCCCGGGGTCCTTGGCCACCTGACCGCCCCGGAGCGGCTGCGACCAACGCCCGTCACTTACCCCACCTGGTGGATGTGCATGCCCTTGTTGGTGGGGCTGGCGGGGGCCGACTGGGTGAGTGAAGACGTGTCCAGGATGCGCTGGGGCCGGGCGTTGACCGTGGCCTGCAGGAGCAAGGGGACAGGGAGTGGACGTCACGCGAGAGGGGCAAGGGTGGTTGCTTTTGAAGAAGGAGAGGCCGTTCTGCCAGGGAAACTCAGACCAGTGGCCGGTCCCCCGAGACGTCAACCCTGAAAACCAAATGTATCTTATCATTTTTTTTTTTTTTTTTTTTTTTGGACAGGCAGAGTGGACAGTGAGAGAGAGAGAGACAGAGAGGAAGGTCTTCCTTTACTGTTGGTTCACCCTCCAATGGCCGCCGCGGCCAGCGCACTATGGCCGGCCCACCATGCTGATCTGAAGCCAGGAGCCAGGTGCTTCTCCTGGTCTCCCATGGGGTGCAGGGCCCAAGCACTTGGGCCATCCTCCACTGCACTCCCTGGCCACAGCAGAGAGCTGGCCTGGAAGAGGGGCAACCGGGACAGAATCCGGCGCCCTGACCGGGACTAGAACCCGGTGTGCCGACACCGCAAGGTGGAGGATTAGCCTAGTGAGCCGCGGCGCCGGCCCAAATGTATCTTCTTATTTTAAAACATTTTTCATCTTATTTGATGGGCAGAGACACACAGAGACTCCACCAGCTGGCTCACTCCCGTCACCCAAAACACACGGGGCTGGGCCAGGCTGGCACCAGAGTGGGAACTCCATTGGGTCTCCCACGTGGGGGGCGGGGGACGGAGGACTTGAGCCTCGGCCGGCTGCCTCTCAGGTGCATCGCCAGGAAGCAGAGTCGGGACACGAATGGACGCTCCCACATGTGATGTGGGTGCTGCGAGCAGTGGCGTCACCACACGCCACACGCCTGCCCCCAGAGTCGCCCGGGTCCTGGGAGGCCCCTAGGGTGGTGACGCTGCCGGGAAGTCTGAAGTGGCCTCCAAGCGGTGCTGGGGGGGGCGGCGTGCAGGGCACTCCCTCAGGAAGGTGGTGGCCTCCATCTCCTTCCGCCAGGACAAAGCCACTGTGTCCCCCAGGTGGCCCTAGCGTGGAGTCAGCAGCAGCAGCCCCAGGGCTCGGACTGTGTGACGCTTTCACGCCCTCGCACCCTCGAGGGGCCTGGGGGGTGCACTTGGCCCTCCCCCGGCAGCAGGCGCCCCTGGCCATGCTGGTTGTGGAGCTGGCCTCTCCGGCCCCCAAGGCCGAGGCCAGCGGGCAGCGCAGCGCCGGCCCTGCAGAGTGGACGTGACATGCTCACTGCTAGGCTAGAATTCGGAAACCCAGTCCAGGGGAGGCTGCGCAGGGGGCCGGGGGGCACGGCGCCCCCAGCCCGCTTTAATTTCTCCTGCGTCAAGGGCGGGCTCAAGACAGCCCCCTCTGCCCGGGGGTGGAGACAGGACAGGCGCTCTGGGCTCACGCCTGCCGGGGGCCATCTGCATTTCCTGTGGTTTCAGCAGGACTCGGACAGCAGCTAACGGAGAGGAAACGGGAAGCAGACAGGAGAGTGACCACTCCCGCGCTGGGAGCGCCCACCTCTGCCAGGCTGGTTCTGGGTGTTCCACTCTGAGCGCTGGCACTGCCGCCGGCCCCAACAGCTCTGCAAGCGTGGAAAGGGCCGGAGGCCGCCTGCCCTGCGTGGGAGGGCGGGGCCAGACGCCCCTGAAGCAGCCACAGGCCCCTGAGCCGGAGCGTCCCGAGGGCCGGCGGGTGCAGGCTGCACTTTCCGGAAGCCAGGCGACGCCGTGAGCAGGACACAGAGCTCCTGCCCCTGCGACCTGCTGGCCCCTGCGAGTGAATCATTCGCTCAGCAGGGAGGGGCGTCCAACCCACAGCTCAGCCAGCAGGAAATCAAAGGAAACACGCCCCCTGCAGGCAACGCCCACGGTCTGCTCTCCGGGTCCCCCTTCCTATTGCAAGAAAGGGGGCTTATCCGGTCTTCAAACACCATTTCTAGTTTTCTCCAGTTTTAATTAGAAAGAGAACACACATTCTTTGTGGACTTGGTGTTTAAATCATTCTGCAAACTCCACACACACAGTCCACAAAGGCTGAGAGCTGTATGAGCCTTTAAACAAAGTCTAATAAAAGGGGCCGGCACTGTGGTGCGGTGGCTAAGCCTCCACCTCTGGCACCCACAGCCCATATGGACGCTGGTTCGAGTCCTGGCTGCTCCACTTCCAATCCAGCTCTCTGTTAAAGGCCTGGGAAGGCAGTAGAAGATGGCCCAAGTCCTTGGGCCCCTGCACCCACATGGGAGGCCTGGAAGAAGCTCCTGGCTCCTGGTTTTGGCCTGGCCCAGCTCCGGCCATTGCGGCCATTTCGGGAGTGAATTAGTAGATGGGAGATCTGTCTCATGCTCTTTCTCTATAACTCTGCATTTTAAATAAATAAATCTTTTAAAGAAAAGTCTCAAGAGAAGAGAAACTCCAACTTCAGAAGCCAGAGGCTAGCAGGCGCCTCCCTGACAGTGTGGGAGGTGACGGGGAGACAGGAAACCCCTGGGCTGACAGAGACGTCAGCCACCGCCGCAGCTGCCAAGTGCGCAGAGCCGGGCCCGGTGGTGACGCAGGAGCCCCGAGGTGTCCCGGGGCTGTCAGCCACGGCTCTGCTCCGTGGGCCGGGGCCACACAGCCTGCCAGGCACGGCCCTGGTTCTGGATCTCTGGAGCTCCTGGGTGAGGGGCTGTGCACAGGCGCGAGGGGGTTGGGTGGGTGGGGGGGTGGTCCCATGAGGCCGCTCAGTGACCCCAGGGTTCCAGGTGGGTTCCTGTCACTAAGCCCAGCTTCGGTCAGCGTGGAGAACGTGCAGGCGCAGCAGAGGAAGGAGCAGCGGCCCCCAGGAGGGCCAGGCCCACCTGCCACTCGAGACAAAGGTGCGAGGACACAGGACCCTCCAGGGGGAGTCCCTCCTCAGGTCCCTGTCACTGCCAGACAGACGGCGCCTACCAGGAAACCCACTGCGTGATGACATCAGGTCCGGGACACAAACCGGGGGCTGAGCCTGGTCTGCAAGACAGCAGACCCCTGTGAGCCCCACCTGCAGCCCCTCCTGCGAGGTCTAGAGGACCCTCCCTCCCTCCCCAGGCTGGGCCCAGCTCCCCAGGCGGCCAACTGGTGTCACTACATGTGGAATCCCGGGCCCGCGGAGGCGGGTGGAGGCCCCGGGCCCGTCCGGATCTCAGCAGCGAGCGCTCTGCTGGGACCCTGCGCAGGTCACGGGGGGCAGCAGGACCCTCGCTGCTGGTGTGTGTCGACTAGAGGTGAGTGAGGACACGGGCAGGCCTGAAGCTCGGCGGCTTGGCTGTGGGTTTCCTGGCTGGATGACTGCCGCTCGTCCGTGGGAGGGACCGGGTGGTTCGGAAATACTCCTGTGAGTTCTATATCAAGGATCTGACTCGTGGGTGAGAAGCTCTCAAGACGGGGTTCCCAGAGGGTGGCCCAGAGCCGGTTCTGGGCTGACATGACGTGGGCCAGGTCACCTGATCGCCGAGAAGCAGGTGCCTGCGTCTCTCCTCATCGCCTCCCTGCACAGTGCACGCCCTGGGCGGGCCACGTGGGCTTGTCTTTGGATGCAGACTCCGGCATCACTCAGGGACCACGGCGGCGGTGCTCTGAGGTCAGCCGCCCGCAGCCCTGGAGCCTGGCCTCGCCTGCCCGCTGGCCCAGCTCCTGGAGCTGCCGCGAGCCTGGCCCCGTTTCCAGAGGACGAGGATGGTGACGACACGCTAACACTGATGCTCACGACAGCAGCCCTGCCCTCAGTCCTTACAGGACACTCGCAGGGAGGAGACGAGACGCAGCCGCCAGGGCGAGTGCGCGACTAGGACTCTCCTCCACACTTGTGCCGGCCTGCGGGGAACCATGGCCATCTGCTCCTCGTGGCCACAGGCCCTGCCCAGGAGGCCCCTGGGCAGCACCTCCGCTCCAGATACAAAGCAGAGACTCCCAGTGCCCGAGCCAGCTGGCGCCCCAGGGCGGCCCCTGGGCAGCACCGGGGGGGTCCACGGTCCAGTGCCGGGACGTGTCTCATTCCGTGTGCTGCACTGGTCCGAGCTAGCCCTCAGCCTGTGTCCGTGTGTCCGTGTGAGCTGTAGGCTCGACAGGGGCCCAGGACCGGAGGGCGACGGCTGACGGGGGCTCCGGCCAGGCCTTGGTAACTCAGGTCCCAGTGGACGGGGGTGGAAGGACTCAGGGCCAGACCCTGTGGACCCTAGGAGCTAAGCATGACCTATGCGGTGTCCTGGGGAGGTGGGGGGGGCCAGGACACCAGGTGACCCCTAAGAGGAGGTACCTTCCCCTGGATTCTTCCTGCAACTTTGTGTGAACTCAAAACTTCATGATAAAATTACAAAAGGACTTTAAAATACTGTAACAAACACATTCTAATTCCACTCTTAAAATATTAACTGTCAACTTCCACGAACAGCTAAACCACCAGGAAGTTAGCAAGCAGCCAGCCTGAGCCCCGACAGTGGTGCCGTGAGCCCAGGGGCCAGGGACGGGAGCAAATGCCTGTCCCGGCTCACGGTGGCTGAGAGCTCTCGGCAAGCAGAGGGGACCGGGGAGAGCTCCAGGGGGTGAGAGGGGGTCTGTGGGGGAGGCCCCTCGAGTCCTTGATGGGGTGCCCTCCGCTCACGGGAGGCAGGAGCCCATGAGGACAGGGATAAACACCAGGCCAAGCCCCAGCGCTCACGAGGCCTGGGAAGTGTGCAGCGTCCAAATGGAGCGGGACCCGCGCCTCCCCCTCAGGAGGGCAGAGTTCCAAGAGCAAACCGAGCCCAAAGGAGAAGCTCGCAAGCCGCAAAGGCCACGCTAGCGAGATGGAGAGCGGGCACGCGCAGACCGGCGAAGCCTGGCTCCTTGAAGCTGCCCTCAGCCGCAACAGTCGCGAGCAAGGGGAGCTGGGAGGGCATCACTGGAGGTCACAGACACCAGGGGACTGTGGCTGTCCACAGCCCGAGGGCTGGAGCTGCGGCAGGGCGGGTTAGGCCGCCACCTGCGCGGCACCAGTTCCAGCCCTGGCTGCTCCACTTCCGATCCAGCTCCTGCTGGCACACCTGGGAAAGCAGTAGAGGACGGACCCAGTGCTTGGGCCCCTGCACCCACGTGGGAGACTCAGATGGAGTCCCAAGCTCCTGGCTTTGGCCTGGCCCAGTGCTGGCTACTGCAGCCATTGGGGAAGCGAACCAGAGGATGGACGCTCTCTCTCTCTCTCTGTTAACTTCGCCTTTCAAATAAATAAAAATAAATCTTTTTTTGACAGGCAGATTTAGACAGTGAGAGAGAGAGAGACAGAGAGAAAGGTCTTCCTTTGCCGTTGGTTCACCCCCTAATGGCCACTGCTGCTGGTGCACCACACTGATCCGAAGGCAGGAGCCAGGTGCTTCTCCTGGTCTCCCATGGGGTGCAGGGCCCAAGCACTTGGGCCATCCTCCACTGCACTCCCGGGCCACAGCAGAGAGCTGGCCTGGAAGAGGGGCAACCGGGACAGAATCCAACACCCTGACCAGGACTAGAACCCGGGGTGCTGGTGCCACAGGTGGAGGATTAGCCTAGTGAGCCGTGGCGCCGGTCCAAAAATAAATCTTACAAAAAAAGGTACAATCTGGGTAAGCAAACCCTGGTGCTCCTGCAGACGTGGCCGGGGAAGCTGTTCCACGTGCTCCCAGCCCCCTTCACGGCTTCCTCGGGACAGACTGAGAGCTCGGGAGCGTGGAGACCGTGCCCGGCACCTACCTTGTAGGCGATGCTGTTGAGCACCTTCATGGCCAAGTCAGAGACGTCTGGGTAGGGGTCGGCAGCCAGGTGCAGCAGGACCCTCCAGATCTGGGTGTAGACGCTGTTAAAGGAAACCCCTAGGAGAGAGACGGGAGACGTTTCAGCAGCGGATGGCGCAGGTAGGAACGCTGCTGTCTTCAGAGGCGGCATCAGGAGGCGTGGCTTCCAAGAGCTGGGGGCGACAGGAAGCCCCCGTTTGGTATCGGCGGGACAGGCCCCGAGACCGGAGAACCCCAGTTGTGGGGGCCGCTGGGTCACACGGGTTCTTCCTCTGCCGTGGGGTCTTTCTTACAAGGAGAGCTGGGGCGGGGTGGGGGGTGGGGGTTTCCATGTGAAACACCTTAGCTGATGGCAAGCACGACCTAGACCTCACGTTCCGCTCCAGATCACCAGATAATGTGGCCTGTAACATGGTGTGTGTAATGTGGCGTGTGGGTGTGTGGGAAGGAACGTGGCCTGTAACGTGGCATGTGGGGTACATGGGAAGGAATGCGGCCTATAACGTGGCGTGTGGGTGCGTGGGAAGGAACGTGGCCTGTAACGTGGCATGTGGGTGCGTGGGAAGGAACGTGGCCTGTAACGTGGCATGTGGGTGCGTGGGAAGGAACGTGGCCTGCAATGTGGCCTGCGGGAATGTGCCTGTAACGTGGCGTGTGGGTGCGTGGGAAGGAACGTGGCCTGTAACGTGGCGTGTGGGTGTGTGGGAAGGAACATGGCCTGTAACGTGGCATGTGGGGTACGTGGGAAGGAATGTGGCCTGCAATGTGGCATGTGGGAATGTGCTTGTAACGTGGCGTGTGGGTGCGTGGGAAGGAACGTGGCCTGTAACGTGGCGTGTGGGTGCGTGGGAAGGAACGTAGCCTGTAACGTGGCGTGTGGGAAGGAACGTGGCCTGTAACGTGGCGTGTGGGTGCGTGGGAAGGAACGTGGCCTGTAACGTGGCGTGTGGGAAGGAACGTGGCCTGTAACGTGGCGTGTGGGTGCGTGGGAAGGAACGTGGCCTGTAACGTGGCGTGTGGGTGCGTGGGAAGGAAGCCCTGTTCACATCCTGCTCTGCCTTCAGCCCACCCCACACGTGGCACAGCTCTGCGTTTCCCAAGAGGGTGTGTGATGGAACCTCTGTCCCCAGGGATCTCCAAGCCAGGGTGTGTGCACTTGACGTGGGGTCTGTGCCCAGGCGTGGGGGGGGGATGAGACCGGACTCCACGGGGACTCAGATACGCCAACAGATGTGGTCGCAAGCTCTGGACAAGGAGACAGAGCAGGCTTGCTGAGCCGTCCACGGGGACGGCTGCTCACGCCGACCTGGCCCCTCGGCCATGCCAACGGCAGGTGCACCCTGGCATCGGGGAAGAGCACAGAGGACACGCACCTGTGTGACCCTCAGGCCACGCCACAGCCCTGCCACCGCGCTGCCCCAGGGAGATGCAGAGGAGTGACAGAGGCGGGGAGGCGACAGCCAGCACAAAGGAAGTGGACTTCGCAGAGAAGCAGGACCGAAATGTGCGTGGGCAAACCAGAGACAGTGAGGGCCGTGTGCTCAGGAGCCAAGGGGAGCAGTGGGCCACAGGGAGGAGGCCTCGGGGGGGCGGTCAGCACGGGCAGGAGAGGGAGGAAGGCAGCCCTGGTGGAGGCGCGAGCCGAGGCTGCCCGAGGACAGGAGGGGCTGGGTGTGGGCAGTGGCAGCGCCTGGCTCTGCCCTGGAGGCGGAGCGGCAGAGACCCCCGCTCGGGGCGAGGAGACAGCCACGCAGCACTGCAGCTGCGTTCGGGGCAGCTGGGCGATTTGCTGAAGGCTTGTTCCGTGACAGAGACGAAAGATTCCGCGTAAGCCAGGACTGTGTGTCAGGTGATGGCCAGCGCCCAAGAAATCCCTGTGTCCTCACGCGGGGCCGGGACATCAGAGGTGCTGTCGGAGGAGGCTTCTGGGCGAGCACAGGGCTCAAGTGGCCTGAGTTTCGCTGGGCACGTTCAAGTCTGGAGACAAGAGGTGGGCGAGGGCCAAGAACAAACTCGGGGGCAGGCACAGTCGTGTGTGGGTGCAGAGGCCTCTCCATCAGCTCCGCCCACCCTCGCCCTCGGATCTGCACAGCGAGGTCGGCACCACGTCCTCCCCGCTGGTCTGGCTGTGGGCCACCGAGGCAGGAGCTGCCCACGTGCAGTGCGGCCAGGAGATCTGCTCTCCCGCCCGCGTGGCCAGCGGAGGAGAACGCTCCGACAAGAGTCCACAGAAACCTGGCCGGCTACTCCCTCCCCACGCTGGGGGGCATCCAAGCGCCCAGCTGCCGTCCCAGGGGAGAGAGGCCTCCCTGCGGCTCCTCCTGAAACACCGGTGCCCGAAGGCCCAGCCCTCAGTGGCCATTCCTGAGGGCAAGTCGGCTTGCCCCTGCTGGTGACTTAGTGTTTTCCACTGAGGGGAAGTCCTTCTTCAGGGTCAGGCCCCACCGTGCAGCAGTCCTGACTGCCTACTGTGTGCCAGGCCCCATGTCCCTGAGGGTCAGCAGGTGCACTGCTGGGCAGCCGGGGCGCCCTGGCATCTGCAACAGCAGGCAGACTTGCACCGCAGATGGAAACCAGTGCAGCTGTTCCCCCGCAGTGCCCTGCCTGCTTCATTCAGAGGCAGAACAGGGCCTAACAACTCCTGCACCCCACGGCTCTACCACGGCCGTCTGGATTTATGAGCAAAGCCGAAGGAAACTGTTTGTAAAATCAGTTCAGACTCTGTGGGCTAAGCCCCAACACTGATTCTCCTGGCCCAGCGGCCAGCCTGCCCTAGGAACCACGCTCCTCATCACGTAAGGACCACGCTCTCATGGGGAGGAGGGCGGTGGGCAGGTGGACGTCGCTCTGAGTTGCTCTCATGATAGGGCCTGAACCTGAACCCACAGGCGACGCGTTTCCCCCTCACAGCCATGCTCAGAAGAAAAGGAGCTCCAAGCTGAGCCCGAAACGACAAGTTCTCACAGAGACCTCAGCTGGCCAGCGCTTCTGTTCACTAGCTCCTCTCCCGCCTGTGGCTCGCAGGCGGCCCCTGGCCGAGTGGCACCGCGGCAGCAGTTTCTTGGAATTGTGGCTGCCACGTGGCACCGAGCCACGAGGGGCAGGGCTGCTGACGATCAGCCGCGGGGAGGGGATGATACCAGCGAGGGACGGCCTGGGAGCAGGTGCATGGCCCTCGGCCGACAGCACAGTAACCCGGTGCAGATGCTGGGCGAGAGGGACCCAGGTCCACCTCCCCACGCAGACCCTGGGAAGGGGCCTCGGATCAGCAGCAACAGGACCAGGCTCAGCCACGCCGGGCGACAGGAAGAGCAGCTCTCGCTGTCACTTATTTTGTGAAGTTCTATTTTTATGACTCGATTTTCCGCAGATTTGACTCTGCTGTAGCCCTGTTTGTGAAACACGAGGGCGAGAACAGTGTCATGCGGCCCGTCTCAGCTGCGCATGACCGGCAGCCATCCGACCCCGCGCTAACGGAATCGTGGACTGCGTCCCACGTCTCCTTGGCGTGGCCATGACGGCTGCTCTCCCGTGCTCCCTGCTCCGGCAGCTGCTCTGCTCTCAGCCTGCGGTCTTCAGCACAGAGGGCCCGGCTGGCGGCGGTTCTGCTGGGGGGAGCTGCGAGCCCGTCACCTGGACCCAGGCCACAGAGTGGGCTCACAGCCTCTCGCGCCTGAACCTGGCACGGGGTGGCCCAGCGCCTCCCACCCACTCCGGGGCCTCGGCATCGGCCCCTTTCTTGCAGGTCCCTTCCCTGGGTGCCAGCGGGTGAGCCCCGGCGACTGCGTCTCCTCAGGGCCCGCTCCCGTGACACGGAGTGGCCTTTAGGAGAATCTTGCTGCCCGGGACCCTGGCTGCTCCCCCGGACTGGTGGCCGGCCCATGTGCAGCCCCCTCCCCAGTCTCCTCGGCGTCCCTACGAGACACACTCGGTGACAGCTGTGCACCAAGGGCTCTGGTCGCAGGACACAACCTTGCAGCACTGGGGAACAAGTCAACGGGCTGCGAACCCTTCCTCCAGGGTGCGCCCGCCCCGTGGCAACACCCCCGCCTGCGCATCCCGCACTGGACTGCTGCACCCCGGCTGTGCCCTGCGGGGACCCCGAGCTCACTGCCTTGGGGCTCTGGAGCCACGGGAGGGGCTCCCTGACACCGGGCCAGAGAGGAAAGCAAAGGAGGACAGGACTGGCTAGCCATGCTGGAATGGGCAGAGCTTGACCGGCCACAGCCTCTGCTTGGACCCCCAAGAGCCTGGGTGGGCCTGGGTGGGCCTGGGGGTCCAGGCAGTGTCCGTCTGGGGCTTGGGTCTTTTCTCTCAGAGCTGTCACTCCCACCTCAAATTCTGAGTGAGGACTTGAACCCGGCTCTCCTGCAGCACCGGGCAGGTGTGGAGAGGTGGGTGGAGCCCACCCTCGGCCCTAGGCCCCATGTGACTCGGGCTCTGCTGCTGACCACACATGACAGCAGCGAGGGCTGGGGTCTCGGGGTGACTGGGGCTGGCTCCCGTCCCTCAGCGGACGCCACCTTGGACTTGTTACTACGGAGATGCGATTTTTAGGCAGTGTAAGATGCTACTGTGGGGGCTGGCACCGTGGCCCAGTGGGTTAAGCCACCGCCTGCTACTCTGGCATCCTGTATGGGCGCTGGTTCGAGTCCTGGCTGTTCCACTTCCGATCCAGCTCCCTGCTATGGCCTGGGAAAGCAGCAGAAGACGGCCCAAGTGCTTGTACGGAGTTCCCCACATGGGACGGAGTTCCCCACATGGGACGGAGTTCCATGGATGGAGTTCCTGGCTCCTGGCTTTGGCCTGACCCAGCCCTGACTGTTGTGGCCATGGGCAGTGAACCGGTGGATGGAAGATTCTCTCTCTTTCTCTCTCTCTGTTTCAAATAAATAAAAATAAATATTTTATAAAAAAAATAAAAAATAAACAAAAAGAGTGGAGGAAACGGGGCCCGGCCCAGGCCTCTGTCTGCACGCTTGCCAGTGCTTGGCAGTGTCGCCTGACTCCAGCTTCCTGCTTCTGCGCCCCCTCAGAGTAGCAGATGCTGGTGTCAGTGGCTGGGTCCCTGCACCCACATGGGAGACCTGGGTGGAGCTCCTGGCTCCTGGCTTTGGCCGGCCCAGCCCTGGCTGGTGTGGGTATTTAGGGAGTGAACCAGCAGGTGGGAGATCTGCCTGTCTCTCAAATAAACACAAGAAACGTATTTCTAAAACCTGAAAGCGGTGTATCCCAGCTCAGAACAGACGCCATCTGGGATGCGTCTTTCTGGCGAGAGCCCACCTGCACCGCAGGTCTCCACCCTCTGTGTATCTCAGCAAACAGCCGGACGCGCCAACCTGCCCTGCTACTCGTCAACGTCGACCACAGACGAGCATTTCTGCACTCAGTCCTCGCTGTCGGGGGTGTGCGGTGAGCAGAGCCCCCACCCAATTCAGGCTCACTGCCCTGGAGCACGCGGTGCCAGCCTGGACCCCACATCCATTCGGAGGACCCTCGGGGCGGCCGCTCAGAGCCTCCCCGAGCACACAGGCGTCTGGCGGGAGTGACCTCAGCCGGGTCCCGAGTTCTCTCGTCACAGCCGTCTCACACGGGTCAGGGCTATCTCACACCGCGACGCGATGCAACGCAAAGAGCGAATTCGCGCCAAGGCAGAGAAATCCTATCGGCAAGAGGGAAGCCACTGGAGCCGAGCGCGCCAGGAGACAGCCTCAGAGTTGACGAGCTGTTTCCAACTTCAGAGCTGAGACAGGAACAAAGATGGGAACACGAAGCCCACAGACACGGCAAAGCCAGGACCTGACAAAACGAAGACACGACGGACGTCTCGCAGGACGGAGCGAGAGGAGGACACAAGGAAAGCTGCGAGGGGCGCGGCGGAAAGACCGGCCACTGGGTAATGGACAGCGTCCCAGGAGAGGGGACGGCCCCAGGGCCATGGACGGCGTCCCAGGAGAGGGGATGGCCCCAGGGTCACGGACGGTGTCCCAGGAGAGGGGACAGCCCCAGGGCCATGGACGGCGTCCCAGGAGAGGGGATGGCCCCAGGGTCACGGACGGCGTCCCAGGAGAGGGGACGGCCTGAGGGTCACGGATGGCGTCCCAGGAGAGGGGACGGCCCCAGGGTAATGGACCAAGAAAATGTATAGATCCTGCTACAGCCAGACACATGGGAGGCGAGTTCAGATCTGCCCAGAGAATCGCACCGCTGCCCACAGTCCAGAGGCACGTTCTCTGATACCCAGAGGACACACAGCTTCCGCTGTGGGAGGGAGTCCTAGCCAGTTTCATGAGGCTGACAGAAACCTGACACACAAACCAGCTAAACACAGAACAAAGTAGAAAAACCGGAAACCAGATCCGCCCAGAACACAGACAGGAGCATTCCAGATAAAACACTGGGGAGCTCAGTGCAAAAGTGCCAAAGGGAATCACTAACGGGCTTTCCCAGGGACCGGGTGGTTTACGCGGACACTATAATCACGCACTGCGCCAATCAACAATGACAGCAAGAGACACGGAAAACATTCAGCTTCATCCATGAAGAAAGTTCCCAAGCACCTAGACCAGAACTCACGGGCACAGCCAAGGGGAAGCCACCAGGAAGTGCACGGGCAGCTCGAGGCGTCGCCCGCCCACGCCGCTGAAGAGACGCCCCTCAAATTCACGAAGACCACCAGGCGCCGGCGACTGACCGGTGCGCCAGGTCATACGCTGGCCCCGAGCCCGCGGACGAGGTGAGTCCACGGACAGGCGCCCGGCGACTGACCGGTGTGCCAGGTCATACGCCGGCCCCGAGCCCACGGACGAGGTGAGTCCACGGACAGGCGCCCAGCGACTGACCGGTGCGCCAGGTCATACGCCGGCCCCGAGCCCACGGACGAGGTGAGTCCATGGACAAGCGCCTGGCGACTGACCGGTGCGCCAGGTCATACGCCAGCCCCGAGCTCAAGGACAGGTGTGTCCTGCTCCCGGCGGAGGCTCCTCCACACTGCAGGGCGCCAGCTCCCCACCCCCATCTCGTTCCACACAATTCCAAACAGCCCACGTGGCTCCCGTGGACACAGGAACTCTGGCCACGTCGAAACAGCCGAGCGCTAACTAAGGCCGGGACGGTCTGCAGGATAAACTGGTTGAGGATTTGGTCCAAGAGCTGTGTCCGTGGCGACTGCATCAGCTCGGCACACAGCCCTTGGGGGAACGCGGCGAGGGCCAGACCGCCTGCCCAGCAGCAGGGGACGGAGTGCACGAGGGAAAAAGATAAAAATAAAAGCAGGGTCCCCACCGCACCCTGATTCAAGGATAAATATCAAGACACAGCATGAAAGGAGAGCTAGACCTTTAGCAGAAAACACAGAAGACCGTGGAGACACTGGGCAAGAGGAAAACTCAAGACACACAAAGCCTGATTACAGAGAAACAGGCATCAGGTCCAGGTGGCGCGAAGACAGGACGAAGCCGGGCTGGACGCCGTGTGGCGGGTCTGTCGACTGCGGCCCGGCACCCAGACTCCTGATGCGCGTCTGCACTCAGAGCGAGGAAGGCAGCGCCGCGGCACACTTGCGAGGCAATGAGCGGGTACTCAGAAGCAGAGACCTGGAAGCCAGATCCGTGCCTCCGGCAGCGGCGTGGCGCGAGTACGCGGGAGGGGCCCTCGCTAGGTGCAGCCGGGAGCGCGCTCTGCAGAGCCCTCCTGCAGGGCCCTCACCCCAGGTGAGACTGCCGGGGCGGGGGCACGCGTGAGTCCCTGCTGGCGTGTGCACCGCGGCACCCGGCAGGCGCCAGGCAGCGCACGTGGGCAGAGGTGGGCGCCAGAACAAGCGAGCAGGCAGGACGTGCGGTGGTGAGAGGCACTCAGGCGGGGGCACCCCTGCCCCGGCCCTCTCCTTCACTAACAGCCACGGCCAAAATCAAAACAGGCTCTCGGGACGGCACGGAGCAGAGCCCATTCTGGAGGGGGGAGTAGACTGGGAAGGCGGCATTAAGACATCACTTGGCCAGAGTTCTGAGTGAACAGGGAGCCGGCCAGGCCAGGAGCCCAGCAGAGCCCAGGGGCAGCGGGGCAGGGGAGCGTGTTGGATGGGGCTGGGTCCCCTGGAGGCAGGGGCCAGGTCCTGCATTTGCTTACGGACGAGGGAACAGAGAAGGAGGCAGGCAAGTAGCCCCACTGGCCGTCACCAGGAGGCTGCAACAGAAGCCGAGTGAGGAGAACATCACAGGGGACGACTACGTATCCTTCCTGTGTCTCTGTGTTTAATTCCAAGGCAGGGCCACAGAGACACACACACACACAGAGACAGAGCGCCAGAGAGAGCGAGAGAGAGGGAGGGAGAGCGAGAGGGAGCGAGAGAGAACAAGAGAGCGAGAGACAGAGAGAGAGCGAGAGACAGTGAGAGAGCGAGAGACAGAGTGAGAGAACGAGAGAGCGAGAGACAGAGAGCGAGCGAGAGAGCGAGAGAGCGAGAGAGAGCGAGAGAGAACAAGAGAGCGAGAGACAGAGAGCGAGAGACAGAGAGAGTGAGAGAGCGAGAGAGCGAGAGACAGAGAGCGAGCGAGAGAGCGAGAGACAGTGAGAGAGCGAGAGACAGAGAGAGTGAGAGAGCGAGAGAGCGAGAGACAGAGAGCAAGCGAGAGAGCGAGAGACAGTGAGAGAGCGAGAGACAGAGAGAGTGAGAGAGCGAGAGACAGAGCGAGAGAGAGCGAGAGCGAGCTCTTCTGGTTCACTCCCACCCAGATGTCTGCAGCTGCTGGGCTGGGTCAGGCCAAAGCCAGCAGCTGGCCGCTCCCCAGGCCCTCACGGCAGTGGTCCTGGCGGGGGAACCAGGAACGTACGTTCAGGGCACAAGACAGAAACCAGAGCCCCATCTCCAACGTCCATCTCCAGGGGCACTCTGGGAGGGAGGGGTGCGGGGCACAGCCGAGGGCCCTCAGCCTGCACTGCTGCCACCCGAGCACTGGGGCCTGCGGCGGCGCCCTGACCTCTGCCCACTCCGCGCCAGGGCAGAGGCACCCCCACTCGCACCGAGCGGCCCGGGATAAAACCACCGGGCTGAGAACACAGCTCGGAGCGCGGGGCACTCGGGCAGGCGTGCGCACCGAGGGAGGGCGGCGGGAGGTTCCGGCGGCCGCCCGACCCGCTGCCCACTGGCCTGGCTGTGAGCCAGCGCCCGTCAAGTCCGTGGCCGAGCGGCCCCGCGCCCGCACCTCCTCTCCCCCACTCCCGCAGCTGTGGCGGGGCGAGGGCTGGGCGCTCACCGATGAGGGAGTTGAGCGAGGAGTAGGAGCTCACGCGGCGCATCTTGTCGATGGTCTCGAAGGACAGGATGTACTCCTCGTTCTCCGGGCTGCCCAGGGTGCTGCTGGCGCTGCTGCTGGTGCTGAGGTTGCCGGGGGAGAAGGCCACCGAGCTGCCCGCTGCAGGACACGGCGCAGGGCGTCGGGTGCGGCTCAGGCACCCCTGGCCTTGCTCTGTGGCTCCTGGCCTGCCTCAGATGTGTCTGCTCCTGCACAATGAGGCTCACCACACACACACCCACACACACACACACCCCTGTGCACAGGTGGGTACACACACACGTACACACACACGTACACACACACACGTACATACACCCCTGCACACAGGTGGGGACACACACACCCTGCCTCTTCTCCTTTGAACCAAGCTCCATGGCATGGTTACTCCTGGGAGACCAGGGCGGGGGGGTGGCTGTCTGAGGGTGTGGCTGTCTGAGGGGGGCGGCTGTCTGAGGGTGTGGCTGTCTGAGGGGGGCGGCTGTCTGAGGGGGGCGGCTGTCTGAGGGTGGCGGCTGTCTGAGGGTGGCGGCTGTCTGAGGGTGGCGGCTGTCTGAGGGTGTGGCTGTCTGAGGGTGTGGCTGTCTGAGGGGGGCGGCTGTCTGAGGGGGGCGGCTGTCTGAGGGGGCGGCTGTCTGAGGGTGTGGCTGTCTGAGGGCCACCTGTCCCCAGCTGAGCCTGTGGTCTCTGCAGATGTGCAGCACTGGCCACTGTGAGCAGAACCCCGGCTTCCGTGCTACGCCCGCGGCTGGCCAACCACCACGGCTGCAGACAGGGCAGACCCAGCGGCACGGCACCCCCGAGGCCCTCAGGGCCCAGGCCGCGAGCCCGCCCGCGCCCCACCTTCTTCTGTCAGGCTCAGGTTCTGCAGAGATTTGTTGAGGCTCCTGGCTGTGGTGACTGCGCGGATGTTTCCATACGAGCTCACAGAACGGAGTCTGGGGGTGCACGGACTCTCCCGCACCGGGGTCACGCTGCCCCCCTCTAGGGCAGAAGGGAAAGCGTTAGCGCCAGGCTTCCACAGAAGGGCAGCGGCTGCTCTGGGCACAGCAGGTTCAGTCGCTGCCCGGTTCCAGTCCCGGCTGCTCCGCTTCCCATCCAGCTCCCTCCTAACGCGGCTGGGAAGCAGTGGAAGATGCCCCAAGCGCTTGGGCCCTGCACCCGCGCGGGAGACCCGGACAGAGCTCCAGGCTGCCGGCTCGCAGCCATCCGGGGAGTGAACCAGCAGATGGAAGATCTCTCCCTCTCTCTAGTTCTGACTTTCAAATAACTAAACAAATCTATTTTTAAAAATTTATTTAAAAGGCAGAGTTAAGATTTATTTATTTGAAAGTCAGAATTAGAGAGAGAGGAGACATAGAGACAGAGACAGATCTTCAATCCAGTGGCTCACTCCCCACATGGCCACAACAGCTGGCAGCTTCCTCCAGGTCTCCCATGTGGGTGCAGGGGCCCAAGCACTTGGGCCATCTTCTGCTGCTTTCCCAGGCCATAGCAGAGAGCTGGGTGGGAAGTGGAGCAGCCGGGACTAGAACTGGCACCCATATGGGATGCTGGCACTGCAGGCTGTGGCTTAACCCACTGTGCCACAGCACTGGGCCCAGTAAATCTTTAAATAAAACCTAAAAAAAAAAAAAGAAAAAGAAAAAAGGAAGGTCCTCGCCCTCTTGCCTCAGCTGCGGCGACAGGAGGTGGCGCCTGTTTCTGGGCAGGACCGAGCTGAGGGAAGGGGCTTTCAGCTCTGGGGCCATGGGCAGGAGCTGGAGAGCCCAGCAAGGCAGCTGCCTGTCTTTGAGAATGTTAAACGGCAAAAGGCCACACGGCACAGGACGGGGCCCACGCGGCCTCAGTGACATGGGCTGTGGGCTGCTGGGGCCTGGCCACTCTGGTTCTGCCACCCCTCCCAGGTCTGCTCCTGGTCACGAGCCCTCGGCAATGGCGGTGATGTGGGGGAGGGGTTGACCGTGTTCTCCAGAGAAAAGCAGACGCGAGAGGGGGAGCCTCCCGGCCTGACTCGGGGCCGCATGGGCCTGAGGTCACTCCTCGCCGGTCGGCTGTGCAGTCACTCATCGCCCACGTGCGTTCTCCACCCCCACGGCAGAAGTTCTGCCGTCCGCCACGATGTCCATGAATTTGATCGAAGGAAAGGGGGAGAGGAAGGGGGTCATTGCCCCCCACGGTTTGCTGAGCGCCTGAGACGGCCGGAGGCAGGCCTGAGGAACCCGACTGGAGCCCTGGCTCGGCGAGGGGCCTGGCCGGCAGCGGGAGGGGGCGGTGGCTTCTGCTGGAGCGGGGAAGGGTTGCAGGGCTTCAAAAACAAGGGGGTACCTGTGGTCGCGGGGGAAGGCAGGGGGTAGTTCTTCTCCTCCTCCATGAACTGCAGGGCCACGGTGCAGAAGTTGCTTTCATACTGCACGACGAGATGACTCAGGGCCACCACCAGCTCCTGCCGAGAGGTACAGGGACGTGAACGCTCACCAGGCTGGTAACGAGACTCACGTCAGTGCCGGACGCCTGAGACGCCACAGAGAGAGAGAGGTCCAAACACAACCCTGCGACCGGTGTTAGAGACAGGACCCTTCCAGCTGTTGTGAGAGGGGGTGCAAAGCAAGGGGCCTCCCCGGGCTCCACACGCGGGGGCTGCAGAGCAGGGGGGGCCTCCCTGGGCTCCACACACAGGGGCTGCAGAGCAGGGGGTGCCTCTCCGGGCTCCACATGCAGGGGCTGCAGAGCAGGGGGTGCCTCTCCAGGCCCCATGGGTGGCCTCATGCTTGCCGGAGTTGCACGCTGTTAGCCCTGGTGCAGGGAGTGGCCTTATGGGGCCTGAGCTCTCGTGGGGTGCGGGCTGCTTCCTGCCCGGCCTCTGGTCACACTGAACAGCGAGTGCCCGCCTCTGGCTCCCCTCCCCCACCCCGCCCAGTCAAGTCCTCCCATCTCCGGGCGGTTTGCAGAGGGAGGAGACGTTTAGCGAGGGTCTGGGGAACAGAGCAGCCTTCCCTTCCGACGCGTGTGAGCTCATCACGGTGCAATCTTCAACACGTGTCGTCAGGACACACGTGGCTCGGACCAAACACGTGGCTGGGGGCGGGGGCTGGCTCACAAGCACTTGCGAACGAAACCTAAAGTATCCAGACAGTTCTTACGTCTGTCCTAAGGCCGACGACAGCGAGTGAGCTTGGAACACGGGCGCTGGGCCCTGGGGCTGGGGTCACAAACAGCACCCCGGCCCACCCTGCCCGACAAGGTCGGTGCCCGCAAGTGTGCAACCTGCAGATTCTCCTCAGGACCAGCAAGGTCCGAGTAACAAGGGCGGCCCCGCGTGCCTGCCGGCTCCAGCCTGTCAGTGAGCTCCTAGACAGTGGAGGACAACGCGGCAGATGTGGGAGGAGGCGTAAACGCCACGTCACGAAGAGCCGCCGGCACACCCTTGCTCTCTGGCGCCGCGGCGCTGAGCTGGGGAGCGGGCGGGGATCTGTGCCCTGCCTGCCCTGCAGCCAGAGCCACACTCCAGTCCCCCCAGGCTGGGGTCCCCAGGGGCCCTGGCGAAGATCAGCCACGCGGCTGCAGGCCCACAGGGAGTTCTGCGGCTCTGGGCCTGCTGGGCCGCGGGGTTGGGCAGGAGCTGGACGCAGGTTCTCCGGGGAGCAGAACAAAGGCTCCCGCCCGGCCGCTGCGCAGCGACACCCCTCAGAGGCCCTTCCTGCGGCCCTCTGCCACTGCCGGCCGAGGACAGGCTTGCGGGGGCACCTGTGGAGCAGATCCGAGGGAACCCCAGCTCCTGACAATGGGCCGCCAGAGGAGCCACGGCCGTCTCACTCGCACCACCTGAAGGATGAGCAGCCCCTGGGCACACGGTGGCCGACCCTGCCCAGGCCTCCGCACACACGCCTGCTTTGACCTCTCTCCTCCTCCCTCCCGTCCCCGGCTGACTCGGTCCAGGGAACGCTGCCCACCTCGGGGCGACGTTTTCTGAAGCGCCTTCGTGTCATCAGGGATTCCTCGTCAGGCGCCGCGCCCCCCCGCTCCAGAGCCTCAGGCGTCAGAGCCTGTGCGCTAGCAAGGACGGGGTGGGGGGGGGAGCGTGGGGAGCAGAGCATGCTGGTGCCGGCGCGTCTGGGTCCCAACAGCCTTGCAGCCTGCAGCTCTGGGGCGCACACAGCACAAGCGACCACCACGCTGCCCGTGGCAAAGTGGCGAGCCACGTCCGTGTGCCCTGGCACCCAGGGCTACAAGCAGGCTGGAGGCCCAGGGCCTGGCACTGCCCTCGGGATGCACGCGAGAGCTCCCGGGCTCCCGGGGACCGCGGGGACGCCCTCCCGGCCCACAATCAGTGCCTTCCTGCTCCAACAGCCTGCTGGCAAGAAGCAGCTTTTCTCCCGTTAAACGTGAGTTTAACACAACAGAGGAGCTGCGGGCCTGCTGCAGCTGCCAGGGCCGTCCACGAGGGCCCTCTGACGCGGGAGAGAGGACTCGGCCTGGGCCGAAGGCAGCCGACAGCAGGGTGAGAACCGGCGAAGTGGGGCCTCGCGCTGAACCTCGGGAGGGGGTGGTGGGGCGCGCCCGCCTGCTGTTCGGCTGTGGGGGGTGTAAGCGTGTTGGGGTCACGTCCCTCCCAGTGCCTCGATGCTGCCTGCTCATCAAACCAACAGCCCCAAGCCAGAGCACACAGCGAGCCACCCAGATGCCCGACACGCCGAGGAGGCACAGTGACGAGGGCGGCCCGTGGCCCCCGCAGGGCTGGCCTGCCTCCCCTGCCAGGCAGGATGCCGTCCACTCCAGCCGCCCCCGAGGCAGCGTGAGGCACAGGCAGGAACCAGGGCCCCCAGAAGCCCCTTTCTGGTGGGAGAATGAGGTTGTGGGGAGCCGGCGTTGGACAGGGGTGTAACCCGTGACGTTCCTACAGGTCATCAGGGAAGCAAACGTTTCCACGCTGCTAAAACCACATTCAGGTCACCGGTGGACACGGGGGGGGGGGGGGGGGCGCTGCCCTCTGCAGCCACCACGGGGCATGAGCGCCTCCCAGGCAGGCAAGTCTACACAGACAAGCTCTGGGAGCACAGCCCGTTCCCTGCCTTGACAATGAGGCAAACACACAGATCTGATGGAGAGACGCGATGCGGAGAGGGAAGCAGGCACAGGGCTGGGCTGGCGGGGGGGGGGGGGGGGGGGCGAGCGCGCCGGGCTCACGCACCTTCCGCACCATGGGGCTCCCGTCGCTGATGAGCTGGGCCAGCATCATAGCCACGTTGTGGTCGATGGTGGTGGAGTGGTCTGTCCTCTCGGCAGAGTTGCCCACGAATGTGCCCAGGGCGAAGACGGCCGCGCAACGGACCTGCAAGGCAGGGGCAGGGGTCAGTCAGGCCTGCGGACGCGTCCGCTGCCTGCAGGTCCGCCCCGCGCAGCTCCGTGTAGCTGGGCTCAGACAGGGCCCGTGCTGCAGCCGCACCTGAGCCGCGCTCCACGGCCAGAGCCACAGTGCTCGCGGCGGAACCCTCCGGGGACGCAAAAACCCAGGGAGCAAAAGGAGGAATCAGACAGGGGAGTCGCCCCAGACCCGCTGGGAAGCTGGGCCAGGGGAGTCGTCCCGGCCCCCGCTGGGAGGCTGGGCCAGGGGAGTCGCCCCAGACCTGCTGGGAGGCTGGGCCAGGGGAGTCGCCCCAGACCTGCTGGGAGGCTGGGCCAGGGGAGTCGCCCCAGACCTGCTGGGAGGCTGGGCCAGGGGAGTCGCCAGGGCCCCCCCAGGGAGGCTGGGCCAGGGGAGTCGCCCCAGCCCCCCCCCCCCCCCCCCGCGGGAGGCTGGGCCAGGGGAGTCGCCCCAGACCTGCTGGGAGGTTGGGCCAGGGGAGTCGCCCCGGCCCCCCCCCCCCCGGGAGGCTGGGCCAGGGTGCAGAGATGGGAATCCAGACGGAGCTGGGCCTCTGGAAGGCTGGGCCGGCAGCGACGCCCACTGGAGACTGGGCTGGCTGTGGCGGGTGGGACCTTGGCTCAGCTCCCGCCTCCTGCACTGGTCCCAGCACAGTCAGCCTCACAGACCCCGCCCCTCATCTCCAAAACGAGCGCCGGGATGTGCCCTGCACAGGCCGGTTGGAGAGCAAAGGAAGTAACGGGTGAGGGCCGGCGCGGGGCGTAGCAGACAGAGCGCTGCCTGGGGGCCAGCAGCCCTTATGGGCGCCTGCTTGTGTCCCGGCTGCTCCGCTTCTGATCCGAATTCCCGCTAACGGCCTGGGAAAAGCAGAAGATGGTCCAAGGGCTCGGGCCCATGCCGCCCATGTAGGAGACCTGGAAGAAGCTCCTGCTTTGGCCTGGCTCAGTCCTGGCCATCAAGGACATCTAGGGAGTGAGCGAGCTAGCGGGTGGAAGAGCCCTCTGTGTCTCCGTCTCTGAAACTCTTCCAAATCAATCAATCAATCTTAAACAAATGGGTGAAATCCCCAGAACACCCTTACCGGGGGAGCCCAAGTGGCCTGACCAGGGCCGGAGCCGCAGGCTGGGCCCCCACCAGGCAGGCAGACAGAAGCCCCGGACCCTGAGAAAGCTGCTGCCGCAGCCTCCCACACGGGTCCCGTCATCTACACGAGCCCCCTGCCGCTCCTGCCAGTGGCTTACAAATTAATCTAGAGCTGGAATCAGTTTGACTGCAGCACCGCCTGCCGCTAGCCATTCTGCAGACACAGCCGGGGGGAAGCCGGGCTCGCCTGCCCACGCTGACCAGGGCCTGCCGCGGCCGCCTGAGTGCAGAGGGAATTCCAGGAACCTGCACGGTGGGGGGTGGCGTGGACAGAGCGGCCTGGGAGGGGTTCCCAAGGAGGAGGAGCACTGCTGGAGGGAGGGGGAGGGCAGGGAGTGGAGTGGTAGGCCCGAGGGGCAGGCGCAGGCGCAGGACGACCACTGCCAGGGCGGGACCTGGAGGAGGACGAGGCGGCGGCGGGCAGGACGGGAGGACCCGGTCACTTGGCGGGTGGGGGGAACAGAGCCGGAGAGTGGCTGTGGATGTGGAAGGCAGTGTGGGTCAGAGCCGGGCGTGGTGGTGGCAGGGAGACGGTGGGGAAGGGGTGCCTCTGAGGGCTGCGGTCAGTGGGGAAGGGGCGCCTCTGAGGGCTGCGGTCAGTGGGGAAGGGGCGCCTCTGAGGGCTGCGGTCGCGTTAGCAGATGAGCCCCAGGCAGGAGAGGGTTCACAGGCAGCAGCCCGAGGTGAGGAAGAGCCAGACGGGGAGGGAGGCAGCGCCAAGCCCCAGCCTTATTCACGCCACGGCAGAGCCTGCTGACGTCACACAGCAGCCGGAGTCCCGGCGAACGGCTTCCGGGGGCTCATCTGCAGAGGCTGACGCATCTGGCGGCGGCGGCTGCGAGAGCGACAAGGCTTTTCCTGGCTGTGGGGACGACGAGCAGCGTCCTGTCTGAGCTTCCTGCCAGGGCTCACGCTGGGCTCGCCCGCACCTGTGCCTGGCAGGTCCCCGCTCTGGGGCCTAAAGCCGGTGGTGGACAGACACGTCCCTGGTGCTGATGGGAGTGTGTACACGGGTGCAGGGAACGCGGGGCGGGGGGCTCTCTGTGGGGCTCCTGGGGGCCCTCCACAGGTGCTGCCCAGAGAAGCTCCCAGGGTAGACGGGGTCTTTGCGGTCAGCGTCTGGTCAGTCTGTGGTTCATCCTCACAGAGCACGGAGCAGCACACCGGCGTAGCAGACATTCTTCAGGCTCTGGCCGCACACCGGCTCCCACGCCCCTCTCTCTGCCCCTCAGACCTCGTGAGGAGCCACCGCAACGTGGGCGGGAGGGCTGGGCCCAGGCCGAGGACTGACGGCTCTGCTGGTGACGAGGGGATGGGAGGGGACAGCGTGTGCAGAGGCCTCTCTGGGGGGTCTCAGGTAGTGAGGGGTAGAGAACCAGGGAGGCTCAAGAGGGAGATATTTTTGCCATTTTTTTTTTTTTGAAGATTAACCGAATTCCAAAGATGTTTAAAATGTATTCATTGGATGGCTCCCATTGGTGGTTCTCTCCCCAGATGCCCACAATGGGGGCCAGTGACCCCATCAGCTCCCCCAGGTGGAGGCGGGGACCCTTGTCCTTGAGCCATCGCTGGTGCCTGCCAGAGCGTGTCTGATGCCTTGGGCTCGGCTGCTCACTCCCTGCCTCCGGTCTCCCGGGGAAGCTCGCGGCCGTGCGGCAGACCTGTTCTGAGAGCCTGGGTACACATTCCCTCGACCTCTGCCCGGCAGACGCCGCGGGCCCAGCACTGAGCACCGCTCCGCTCCATCCGCCTCTCAGTCACTGTTCTGGGACGGCACCCTGGACGCTCCCGGCGGCACGCACCCGCCATCCTCCCACACCACCAGGGGAGAAGGCACAGAGAGGGGCTGGGACAGGCTGGAGACCGGGCAGCCGACAGCTGCTCACGAAGCCCCGGACAGGAGCAATGGAGGTGCTGAGCGCCAGCCGGAGGCCGCGTCTGCGTCCTTGTGGGTCCCAGCTGCTCCCAGCAGACCCCGTGCCCTGCGGGGTCGCCCGGACTGCAGCCCAGCAGCCGAGGTGAGCGGCCCATCTCTAGAGGCAGGGTTTGGGCTCAGCCGGGGACTACACCTCCTCCCATCAGCCCAGAGACAGGCCAGGCGCTCTTGCCTGCACCAGTGTCCGTGCGGACAAGCCCTCAACTCGAGACACCGCGCTCCACCTCTTGTGTTCTCTGCCTCCTCGAGAAACCCTCCCTTTCTGAGGTGACCGTCAGCGAGGGCCTGACCCCGGTGGACGGTGCAGAGCGGCTCTGGGAACACACAAGGCTGCCTTCACCCTGCCACGGAGCACGCGAGAAGGCTCAGAACACACACGGTGCGAACCTGCACGCGGGCCGCCCCTCAGCATGGAGTGACCCCAAAATCTGACCCCGGCTCACTGACAAGGTGCAGGGACGGTCTGAGAAACCTCGCAGGGCCCCCCACCCCACTGACGTGTGGATGCACCTCTGACGTGAGTCCTGGCCACCCGTGTGCCGAGGAGGAGCTGCGTGGTGCTCCCGTGACCCAGGGAATGGTGGCACCTCTGTGGGTCACACCTGGCTGAAGAGCAGTCAGGGGCATGGGGACCTGCCCGGAGGAAAGACTAGTGACACAGTGACCGCACGGGGACCTGCCCGGAGGAAAGACTAGTGACACAGTGACCGCACGGGGACCTGCCCGGAGGAAAGACTAGTGACACAGTGACCGCACGGGGACCTGCCCGGAGGAAAGACTAGTGACATGGGGACCTGCCCGGAGGAAAGACTAGTGACACAGTGACCACACGGGGACCTGCCCGGAGGAAAGACTAGTGACACAGTGACCACACGGGGACCTGCCCGGAGGAAAGGCTAGCGCCATGGGGACTGCACTGCCCCGAGCTGGACAGTCACGAAGCAGGCAAGAGCCAGGGGTCTCGTGTCCCGGAACGCCCCCTCCATGGCTCCCCGCTCTCTCTTGCCAGCTGCTGCGCCCCAGTGTTCGCTTGTCCCTTGCGCTGTCTCCCTGCCACGAGCCTGGTCCTGTACCTGAAGCTCCTTGCTCCCAGAAGGGGAAGTGGACACCTCGAGGCACCTCAGGCTGCAGCCGCCCTGCCTCCTCTGACCGTGGCCTTGGGTATCTCCCGGGACACTGGCGACTGTGGGGCTGGGCGGGCTCGTCCTCGTCGGCTGACGTCCAGAGTCTGGGCTCCTGGCTGGCCTCAGGCCTCGCTGTGCCCTCCTCTTCCCTTCAGCCCCACCCCCGTTCCTTCCCAACGTCCCTTCCGTGTTTTGTTTGACGCCTTAAATCCTCCTGAGACTGGGAAGCGAGTGAGTCTATTTACCGTGGAAACACTTCCATGAGGACCGCAGGGGCGGGGACGCAAGCGGCCTCAGAGCCTGGCCCTCGGAGGCAGGTCCAGGGCACGGGGCAGAGCCGCCTGCCCTCCCTTCAGACCTGGCTGTGAGCAGGGCTGGCGCAGACGCCCTGGGCCTGAGGGGGACCGGGCAGCGCCCGGCACTTTCCCCAGCCTGCCCCGGCACGAGGTGCCGGCCCCTCCCCTCTGCAGCCCCGGGGCCTGAGCCTGGCACCCCGCAGAGGAGCCGGGCCCTGCCTGCGTGCGGGAGCACCCTTGGCGGGGAAGGCCCACGGGGCCCCGCGCAGGGACTCACCTCGGGGATGGGGTCGGAGAGGAGGCTGCAGAGCTTCTCGTGTGCGCTGTCCCGCACCCCGCACCACCGGGCCGAGTCGAAGTTCTGCCAGATCCTGCCCAGGCAGATGGCCACCCATTGGCGCAGCAGGGGGTGCGGGTCGCTGAGCTGCTCCAGGCAGATGGCGATCAGGTTTCCCTGCAGGCAGGCCTCCTGGAGGGCAGAGACACCGGGGCTGGGCGGGGGCACGGGCCACCGCCTCCTGGGGGAGCCTGCTTAATGCACCGCAGGCCTGGCTCCCGTTTTCTCATTTTAAATCCCGTCGATTCACACCTGCCCCGTGGGGGGCGGGGCTTCTACCTCACACCTGCCCCGTGGGGGCGGGGCTTCTACCTCACACCTGCCCCTGTGGGGGGCGGGGCTTCCACCTCACACCTGCCCCTGTGGGGGGCGGGGCTTCTACCTCACACCTGCCCCTGTGGGGGGCGGGGCTTCTACCTCACACCTGCCCCTGTGGGGGCGGGGCCTCCACCTCACACCTGCCCTGTGGGGGGCGGGGCCTCCACTTCATACCTGCCCCGTGGGGGCGGGGCTTCCACCTCACACCTGCCCTGTGGGGGCGGGGCCTCCACTTCATACCTGCCCCGTGGGGGGCGGGGCTCCCACCTCACACCTGCCCCGTGGGGGTGGGGCTTCCACCTCACACCTGCCCCGTGGGGGGCGGGGCCTCCACTTCATACCTGCCCTGTGGGGGCGGGGCTTCCACCTCACACCTGCCCCGTGGGGGGCGGGGCCTCCACTGGGCAACCGTCCTGCAACCTCACTTGGCCAGGCTGACGGTCTTGGTCGGTCTTGGTCTCGCCAGACCGTCAGGGCACAGCACCTTCTCCACCAGGTTTCCTAACAGCCCCCCACCCCACCCCCACAGTGCCAGGGGGAGGGGAGGGTGGGGCGGTGGCGGGACGCTCACCTGCCCCGTGTTGTAGCTGTTGACAATCACAGCGAGGATGAAGGCTGTCATGGTCCGATGCTCCGCCTGGAAAACACACCCCGCCTTGGTCCTGCGCTCGCCTGGTGGGGACTCGGCCCGACTCCCTGCAGTCTCCACGCTAAGCCCGGGGCGCGCCCCAGGCACCGGGAGCCAGCTGGGCTGTGCTGCACTGACCAGCTCCGCCACGAGCACAGCCCTGGGAGAGGGCCCGGAGGCTGCGGCTCTGCCTCTCCGCCGAGCAGACCGGGCCCTGGAAGAGCCGATGCCTCGGGACGGCGTCACCGGTCTGGGGCCACCTGGCGGCCTTCCTCTGTCAGGTGGCCAGGGCAGTCTACGTGAGGCCTGGACACGCCGCCCACCTCTCCTCGTCCCATTCACGTGTGCTGTCCCTGCCACCCAGCACCCAGCCTGCCCACCCTGGCTGCCTCCTGCTCTCTGCTGGGTCGGGCGGTGCCCACCTTGCCCTTCCTGGGACCCGGTCAATTTCAGTCTTCCTGGTGCTCTGCGTCAAGCACGCGTGTGCGTGCACACACACACGTACACACACACACTCACTCACTCAAGCATCTAATTTGTTCTCTACGCCCCTGGGATGAATCCAAGGCTCTCAGGGGACCTTAATTCCGCCTGCTTCCTCCTTGAAAGAGAGACTAGTAGCAGTATTCATTTCCGCAAAGCTGACTCAGGGGCCGGCACTGCGGCAGTGGGGTGAGCTGCTCTGCTCCCAGTTCCCCCTCGATGCACCGGGGAAGGCACAGGAGGGGGCCCACGTGCTTGGGTGCCTGTCACCCACGTGGGAGACCTAGCTGGAAATCCTGGCCCGGCTTTGGCCTGGCCCAGCCTCTGTGGCCATGTAGGGAGTGAGCCAGAGGGTGGACGATCTCTCTGTGTAAGTCTGCCTTTGAAATAAAAAATCTTAAAAAAATAAAAGGCTTATTTAGATGCAGCCACATGTTTGCAGTCTGCTTTTCGCTGCTTCCTTCCTGCACCCCACTTCTCCCTCGGGGTTCAGTGTCCCCTCCTGGAAGCGCAGTTTATAGCTTTCTTCTGTGGAGCTCAGAGAGTGGGGCGCTGGGTCCTGTCTGACCCGCGTCTGCGCCCCCTGTCCCCGAGGGGTAACTCAGCTGGGGACAGGACTGAGGGCAGCCCCACCCTCCACTGCCTGCTGCCGTCGGCCGGGCTGTGCTCACCGTGCTGCACGTCTCACAAGATCGTCTCTAAGCCCTGCTCCCCACCCCCACCTGCAGGACGCCCTGTGCTCTCCCTGTCACCCCACCCCCACCCGCAGGGCGCCCTGTGCTCTCCCTGCACCCCCACCCGCAGGACGCCCTGTGCTCTCCCTGTCACCCCACCCCCACCTGCAGGACGCCCTGTGCTCTCCCTGTGACCCCCACCCGCAGGACGCCCTGTGCTCTCCCTGTCACCCCCACCCGCAGGACGCCCTGTGCTCTCCCTGTCACCCCACCCCCACCCGCAGGGCGCCCTGTGCTCTCCCTGTCACCCCCACCTGCAGGGCGCCCTGTGCTCTCCCTGTGACCCCCACCCGCAGGACGCCCTGTGCTCTCCCTGTCACCCCCACCTGCAGGACGCCCTGTGCTCTCCCTGTCACCCCCACCCCCACCCGCAGGATGCCCTGTGCTCTCCCTGTCACCCCCACCCGCAGGACGCCCTGTGCTCTCCCTGTCACCCCACCCCCACCCGCAGGGCGCCCTGTGCTCTCCCTGTCACCCCCACCTGCAGGGCGCCCTGTGCTCTCCCTGTCACCCCACCCCCACCCGCAGGACGCCCTGTGCTCTCCCTGTCACCCCCACCCGCAGGACGCCCTGTGCTCTCCCTGTCACCCCCACCTGCAGGACGCCCTGTGCTCTCCCTGTCACCCCACCCCCACCCGCAGGATGCCCTGTGCTCTCCCTGTCACCCCCACCCGCAGGACGCCCTGTGCTCTCCCTGTCACCCCACCCCCACCCGCAGGGCGCCCTGTGCTCTCCCTGTCACCCCCACCTGCAGGGCGCCCTGTGCTCTCCCTGTCACCCCACCCCCACCCGCAGGACGCCCTGTGCTCTCCCTGTCACCCCCACCCGCAGGACGCCCTGTGCTCTCCCTGTCACCCCCCACCCCCACCTGCAGGACGCCCTGTGCTCTCCCTGTGACCCCCACCCCCACCTGCAGGACGCCCTGTGCTCTCCCTGTGACCCCCACCCCCACCCGCAGGACGCCCTGTGCTCTCCCTGTCACCCCCACCCGCAGGACGCCCTGTGCTCTCCCTGTCACCCCACCCCCACCTGCAGGACGCCCTGTGCTCTCCCTGTCACCCCACCCCCACCTGCAGGACGCCCTGTGCTCTCCCTGCACCCCCACCTGCAGGACGCCCTGTGCTCTCCCTGTCACCCCCACCTGCAGGACGCCCTGTGCGCTTCCGTGAAACCCCGTCTCCAGGAGGACACCACTGCGAGCGCCCGCCCCTCTGCTGCCCCCTTCGGCCCCGGCCCTGGCCCCGGTGTGCTCTCAGCCTCACTGGGTCTCTCCATCTCCCGCCTGCAGGGCGGCGGCCCTCCATTACAGGACGCATGGCCCCTCAGACCTGCCTGCTTAGACACAACGGGTCACTCCCGAGGGTAAGCAGGGAGCCTCGGGAAGAAGCGGCACGAGCGACGGAGAGCCCGTGGTCCTCTTCCGGTCACTTTCCACGAACACCTACGTGGCCTGACCGGCACTGCCGAGGCCGGCTCTGCTGGCTTCCTCGGATCTGCTTCGTCGCTCCTGGGCGCTGGCTGCCGGGAGCGTCCCTGCGGGAAGGCCTGGTGCTTGTCTGGGGGACCCTGGGTGGGCTCCCCGAGGGCAGCACCCGCCCTGACGCTGCGCACGAGTGTGCAGCAGCCTGAGGCACCCATCGCCTCTCGAAGGCCCTTCCTCTCCTTTCTGTGCGGCCCTGGGTGAGGGGTGGGCCTCACACACGTAGGGACACTGTGCCAGGCCTTGGGCAGGGGGCAGGACCACGGTGCTCGGTGCCCGCTGTGGCGCAGACCCCTGGGGTCGCCAGGTGGTGCTGTCCGCTGCCCGCCGGGCTCTCTGGGGTCCCCCTCTCGGGCCGCAGCATCAGGAGATTCCTATTCTTCCTTGCAGACTCGGCCTTGTCCCCGAGTTTACGGCGGGGCCCTCTCCCCACTCCTCGCCTTCTCCCTCGGCCTGACGAGCTCGTGTGAAGTGTGAACGCCACTGCCCGTGACGTCTAGACGCCACGCTCACGTCGGAGCAGGGGGACCCGTCACGTCACGGTCCTGCTCACGACGCTGTCTGCCTCGGGCTTCACCGTCCGGTTTAGAAGACCAGCTGGACGGTGGAATAACTGACAAACAGCTTCCTTCACCCTAGCACTGCGGCAGCAAGCTGGCACGCTTGGTAAACTCCGGCAAAATTAAGTTACATGCAGGACTTATCCAGGACACCTGTTTGTCTCCATCACTACACTGCGAACAGAGAGATCAGCTATGACGCATTTACAGAGGCCGTCTGTGGGTTACAACCCTTAGCGCCCTAACGAGACAAGTGCAACGAGCCCCGCGAGCGCTCTCATCTGCCTCCCCCTCCCTCGCCTCCCTGGGCGGGCAGGCACAGGCCCCAGCCCTGCCGCAGGCCTCTCCCGCTGTCTGAGAGCAGTGCTCCCTCAGGTCATGCCAGACACCCACTAGAAGACGGGATCTTACTCCAGGCCTGAGTCAGAGTGGGTGGACTACAGCTCCCAGGGAGGGGTGGAGACGCCAGGGAGCACCGCCCACAGCGAGGCGCTTGGCCTGGCCCTCCCCAGGCGTGTGGGGCGGCGCCACCCCCGCTGATGCCTTCCTCAGGGGCCCAGGAGCAGGGGGACGCGCGGTCCTTACTGGCATGTACGGGTCCGCGAGGACGGACAGGAAGTACTTGTGGCCGTTGTCCTTCACGAGGTCAGCCTGGCATGACTGTGGGAGAGAGAAGAAGGCGTGAGAACAGGGCCTGGAGGGCTCGGGGCAGGCGGGGCTGCACCGCACGCTCATGCCCGGATCACTGCTCGGGCTGTTGCCCACACGTTTCTCTCGGCTGAGCCAAGAGGGCTGGGATCCCGCACACCCTCAAACGCACGGCCGCGCCGGGCAACGCTTGACCACCACCTTCTGGCTACCTGGTGGGTGGGCTGCCCGGCTGCGGGCCGCCTGGCTCTGGGGCCCGCGCCTCCCTTCCTCAGACCCCAGGGCCCAGCTGCTCCCTTGCACTGTCCGAGCTGGGACGCGGCCGGCACTGGACACCGCCCCGATTCTGCAGCCGGCCCGCCGAAGCCTCTGGCGGGACTGCCTGCACTCACAGGGCCCTGGCGGGGAAGGCCCGAGCCACGCAGCAGTGACAAGCACCCGTCCTCACGGCGGCACCTGGCAGGCACTCCCGGGACTCCTCGCCTCAGCCCAGGGAGCAGCTCCAAGGGGGGACGCAGGAGCTCAGGAAGCCGCCAGGTGTGCATCTCTCCCGTGAGCACCGTCCAGCCTGCACGGTCACAGCCGTCTTGCAGTTCTGAGGACCGACCATGTGCCAGCCGGGCCCGGGGAATCAATCTCTGCCCTGCCCACAGTTCTCGAGGGAACAGAGTGGAAGCCACCCCACACGTGACAACAGGGTGGACAGTCACCATGCACGTGACACACGTGACACGAGGGGTACTCACTGTACATATGGCACACATGACAACTGTACAGTTGTCACACACATGGCACAGGTGACAACAGAGTGGTCACTGTACATGTGACACATATGACAACTGGGTGGACAGCTGCCATGGGTGTGGCACATATAAAAAGGACAGATAGTCACTATATATGTGGCACACATGAGAACGGAGTGGACAGTCACACATGACACAAAAGGGACAGTCACTGTCCACATGGCACATGACCCCATGACGTCACAATGAGAAAGGAGCCAGGTCATTTGGGGTGTACGGGGAGAGGGGTTATCCAAGGGGAGAGGGAGGGCAGGAACGGAAGAGGACGTGGTGGGCTCAGTTCTGGAGCACAGGGCAGGGAGGGGGCACCAGGGAGTGGGAGATGGGTCACCCAGACACAGGGCAGGGAGGGGGCACCAGGGAGCGGGGGACGGGTCACCCAGACAAAGGGTAGGGGGACCCCAGGGAGTGGGGGACGGTTGCCCAGACACAGGGCAGGGAGGAGGGGACACCAGGGAGCAGGGGACGGGTCACCCAGACACAGGGCAGGGAGGAGGGGGCACCAGGGAGCGGGGGACGGGTCGCCCAGACACAGGGCAGGGAGGAGGGGGCCCCAGGGAGTGGGGGATGGGTCGCCCAGACACAGGGCAGGGAGGGGCCCCAGGGAGTGGGGAACGGGTCACCCAGACACAGGGCAGGGAGGGGGCACCAGGGAGTGGGGGATGGGTCACCCAGACACAGGGCGGGGGGGGGGGCAGCAGGGAGTGGGGGATGGGTCGCCCAGAGCCTGGGGCCTTGCGGAGCCAGCAGGAGACAGGCTCGGAAGCACAGACTAATTGGACCACAGCTCTGGGATCAGCTGGTGGTAGCAACTAGGGCTCGACTAGAGGTGGGACTGGAGCTGGGGGGGGGACAGGACAGGGACGAAATCAGGGGCGCATGGCAGCTGTTCTGGGGGCCGGAGTAGGAGGGCAGGGTAGGCCTACTGCTTGCGAAGCCCCTGAAAGGGCTGGGAGGCCGCCTGGCCTCACGGAGGGGTCACAGAGGACGGGGAGCCGAGTCGGGCTCAGGGCACTTGCTCTGCAGGGGGAAGGTGGACCTAAGCCCTGGAGCAGGCGCCAGGCACCGCAGCTGGTACGTGGGTAGGAGAGGCCACCATGTGAGGGGTGCCCCGGTACTGAGGACGGGGTCGGGGAAGGAGACAGGTGCCCGAGAAGGAAAGCCGTCTGCCCCAGAACAGATGGGGGCGGGGAGCGGGTCTGAGCCCGGCTGTGTCCCCCGGACGCCTGGGCTCCCGCCCGGCAGGCACATCTGGAGCCATTT